TAAAATACCCGAAAACCCAAGAGCTTCTGGGGAATTTCCCTCCCTTGGCCTCCACCAGTGCTTCGCCCAGACCCACTGGGGGCCTTAAGGCGGCCCTAGACCTCTTGCCTGAACGAAGTTATACACGCCCCCCCCCCCCATCCTGAATCCGCCTATGGTATATAAATGATTAGTCTTTTAGAATCAATCGATCAAGGTGCCGTAAGACAAAGAAGAAAATAAATAATCTGTCCTCGATAATCTTGAAAATAAATAATCTGTCCTTGACAGGCATGAAAATAAGTAATCCGTCTCAAAAAAATTTGCCAGCCCCCCCCCCCCCCCCCCTCAGAATCAAATGGTCGTCCCCTAAGGGGAGATTCTTCCGTAAATCGGGGAATCTGCTATTTTTGATCTTTGGGTTAACATAATTTTTTTGAGGTTTTAGACGAAATTGGTAATTATTTATTAATTGTTAAATCAATTAATTGTAATTTGGTAATTGGTTTAACTTAATTGGGGAAAGTTTAATTTTTACAGCTTTGGGGGGTTTATCTACAATCATATATCTTGATTATTTCAGCATCCGATCGTATCTAAATTTCCAGTTGTTAATTATCTTTTATTCATTGACAGTTTAGTTTTAAAGATAGGTTTTTAGCCATATATTTCGATTATTTCGAGATCCGACTATTTATTAGAATTTAATTAATATTGTGATATTTGTCAGTAAAAAAGGGTGGTTAAAAGGCCTGGATATTATTTTTTTTGGGGTTAAAATTGTTCATGTTTATTTTGCAGACTCAATAAATTTATGAAACTTAAATTTCGAGTTTAGTGTTGTTGACTCAGTGTTAAAAAGGGGAGTTAACTCCTGTCTACTAGAACCACTATAGCGTTACACATATTTCCATTGTGCACCTCTTATTTTACGTTTTGATCGGACACATTTTTTGGATTACCCATAGCAATATATAGACATTGCTATTCTTTCTGTATTATTCAACGGTACCCACCTCTTATCCACAACTCTTTCTATACCACTGAATGAAATTTAATGATACTGGAACGAAATTAATTCCAAATCCAAGGGCCAGCCCAAGAGGAGACCCCAATTGCATTCACTGAAGCACATCGCGTGAAGAAATGTAGGAAGCAGACGAAGAAGCCCACCCCAATGCAACCACCCTTGCCTTCTGCGAAGAACACTGTGATATTGTCAGCACAGAACCCCATCCTGCCCATTCTGCCAGCTGATGCATTCAAACTGACTTCGCCACTCACGAGCCAATTCACTCCAGGGACACCAACAAGGGAAGTCTTTCAAGCGAATTTTCGAGGAAACACTTCGTGATTCGTCGAAAGAAGAGGCCCTTCTTTCCCCAGTTGTCTCCATATCTGAACCACTTGTGGCATCCACACCTATACGCACGGTTACACCACCACCGATAAGGAATTCGACAGGAAGGACGCCTCCGTCTAGGAATCTCTCCAAAGTAGACTGCAGCCCCCGTCCTCAATGCAACAGGAACGAGTAGGATTAAATTAAATGTCTGAGGGAAGTTATTCATGACGACCTGAGCCACTCGGAGGAACCAGCCAGATTCATTATTCACCCAGATGATGGAGGACCCTACCCTTTTGCCATCCTACACTACTATAAACTAGATATCATTGAGTTGGTGGCCATCTCAAAGGGCCCCGCTTTTAGCAATGAACATGAAATTGTAAGGTAGCTGAAAAGGGTTTATTTTGAAGGTGTTTGAGATTAAAGGGGACAAACAGTAAGTAGTCCCTGAAAAATAATACAATTAGAAAACTTTAAGAAATGTATCCTCTATGAATATTATTGCATATCCTTTCATCTGTTATGTTTTCAGTGGATGATGTTTAGGGATAATTATCAAAATATACGACAACACACCATGCCGGGTTCTGTCATATTTATTACTACTTCCGGTCATCTATTATATACATTAGAACCAATCACGAACATAATTCCGGATAACGATTACATAGAACATTACAGTCCTCTCCTTTTTAAATTGGTATTAACAAAATTAAATAAAAGTTTAAAGAACTTCCAGTAAATAAATATAGATAATAAATTGTCAATGTGTAGAACAGATGAAGAATATACATGAGATCCCAGAAGAAGATTTACAGACACAGATTACCCAGATTTTCATTTGAAGTCAGATTGCCATGAAAACATAAAATGTTACTTGACATGTTCAATCAACAAAATATAACATGATACAATATTGAGAACTTATGTAGCTCTATGAACCTACTGGGGATTATTATGCCCCAATCACTGTAGGTCATACCTAACTCACTTCAACACAAAATCTTTCAGTTTAATTGGTTGTTTCCTTTCACGGCCACTACGGCGCACAACTGGAGTTTTTCCCTTTAAAGTCGCACTTGTAGAATTGGGTTGTTCATCTGACTCGGACACCTCTGGACAAATGGAAACTGGAATATCCTCCTCTGGAATCCTGACTATTGCTTTGTCCTCAAGATTGCTACGAACAGAATCACTTATTTTCTTGAATTTCGACACGTTGCGCGTAATACCATTATCAGTTGTTACCATACATCCTTTCTTTTCTAACACCGTTCTTGGCTCTGGCTCGTATGTAGATTGTAGCTTGTCTCCACGAATTTCCTTCTTCATCAAAACAGAATCTCCCACTTTTATTTCCGAATTTCTGCTACGATTCCTCTGGTCACCATAATGCTTCATAATGCGTTTCGCTTCACTGTCCCGTGTCCTCACCATCTCATCAAGTACTGGTTCCTGTGTCTTCTCTGAAATTTGTGGTAATTTAGTTTTTGGTTCTCGATTGAAAAGTAATCTGTACGGGGTTTGACCTGTCGAGGTATGTGGTGTTGCTCGATACTGCCGTAGAAATCTATACATCTCCTGTTTTCAGCTGATTGATGTGAGCAGAGCGTATCGCCTTCATAAGAGGTTTATTAAAGCTCTCAGCCTGAGCGTTAGCTCGGGGCCACCTTGGAGTAATTCGGCGGTGTACAAAACCCATGTTCTCTGCAAACTGCTTAAATTCATGTGACTGAAAAGGGCTGCCATTATCGCTCTTTACAGTTTTTGGTAATCCAAAAGTACTGATGACTTTGTCAAGTACAGGAATCGTTGAGCGTGCAGATACTGACTTCACTATCTCTACAATAGGATAACGGGAATATTCATCTACCATGACAAAGAGGTAGTCACCCGAGGGTAGAGGTCCACAAAAGTCTATACTGATGTTTTCCCATGGTGCTGCAAGGTAGTTCCGACATCTTGTAAGGTTCCATAGAACGGGTTTCTGGAGTTAGAGCTTGGCATGATGCACAGTTCCTAACTGCTTCCTCGATAGCTCTGTCCATATCAGGAAACCAAACTTTAGAACGTAAGAATGATTTTGTTTTGGCTATACCCTGATGACCTTCATGCGCCAGAGCAACAGCTCTCTGTCTGAGACTCTTGGGTAGCACAATGCGGTGGTTCCGAAGTAAAACATTGTCAGAATGTACAGTTAGTTCATCCCGAACAGCCTTGATTGCTGTCAATTCACACACGTCAACATCTTCCAATACGTCGGTCTTCATCTCGTACCACTTTCCACATCTTGTATAATAGATTGCTTTCTGTAAGGTATTGCATTTATGAGTGGCTTCTCGTACTTCATCTAAGTCAATAGCTTGTGGTAACGATTCTTTTGCGATGAAGTTGACATATTTCTCAGCCCAGTTTTCTTCCAGTGATTTCTTAGATTCTCCGACTGGATGCCTGGAAATGTAGTCTGCAATATTTTCACTTCTGGGTTGGTATTTAATTGTACAACAGTAGGGCTGAAGGCGTAGTCCCCATCTTTCAATTCGCAAGGGTGGTTGAGGTTTATTCCAAATTGTTTCCAGGGGTTTATGATCTGTTATGATTGTGAAGTGTGATAAACCTCTGAGATACAAGTCATAATGTTCACACGCCCACACAACACTTAACGCTTCTCGTTCCGTTTGACTGTATCTGGACTCTACTGGTGTAAGGGCACGGCTCGCATAACTCACAACTTTATCCTCCTGTAGTAGTATTACACCGAGTCCTATTGGGCTGGCGTCCACTTGCACTGTCACCGCATTGCAAGGATCATAGTAGGAAATAACGGTCTCACTACACAACCTTTCCTTCAGTGTTATGAATGATTCCTCGCACTCTTCGCTCCAGGTCCAGGGTTGGTCCTTGTCTGTCAATTGCCGAAGAGGTCTGCATATCTTGGCATAGTCCTTAATAAAGCGAGAACAATAGTTCGTTAAGCCTAAGAAACTTCTTAGGTCCTTCACATTCTCTGGTCTACTGAATTCACGTACTGCTGTCACCTTCTGAGGATCTGGTGAAATCCCTTTTGTTCCAAAGATCACTCCAAAGAATGATATCTGATCTGTTCTGAAGACGCATTTTTTGTAATTAAGAGTCAATCCTTTTTCACAGAGTCGTTTCAACACTTGTCGTAGAGCTATATCATGTTGTTCCTGACTCGCTCCGAAAACCACTATGTCATCCGAAATGTTCCGCACTCCTGAAATATCTTGGACAACTTGCGTATGGTTTCGTGAAATATTTCCGACGCAGATGACACTCCAAAATTCAATCTCTTGTAGCGGAATATACCCATGTGTGTACTAAATGTAGTGATATATCTGGAATCTGGATGAAGTTCCAACTGATGATATCCGCTACGCAAGTCAAGTTTACTAAAAACTTTGGATCCATTTAAGTCTAATATGAGCTCCTCTATGGTAGGCATGGTATGCCTCTCACGCTTGATGGCTTTATTTGGTTGGCGCATGTCAACGCAAAGCCTGATTTCTTTTCCATCCTTCTTTGGCGGAGTCACAATAGGGGACACCCATGGTGTAGGCTCTCCTTCGACGTTCTTTATAATGTCTAATTTTAACAGTTCATTTATCTCCTTTTCAACTTTATCCCTCATATGAAATGGAGTCTTTCTCCTCTACTGAGCCACTGGTTTGACAGTCGTGTCAATGTGAATCTTCACTTGATGATTACTTAATTTCCCAATGCCTTGAAATAACTGAGGAAAGTCATCTTCCACTTTCTTCTTGATGTCATTTACATTGTTCACTAGTTTGATGATTTGTAGGCTATCAGCAGTGGGGTAGCCTAACAAGGATCCATTTACACCTTTCACCACATAGAACCTCACAATATCATAGCTCTTCTCTCTTTCTAATGTCAAATCACAAGTCCCTAGAACTGGGATTTTACCACCTCCATAAGGCACAAGTTCACAATGTTCCTTCCTTCGTCGAAGCTTGGGTCTTCCTACTTTAATGTAATCAGCTTCGTCCAGTATGTTTACAGATGAACCACTATCCACCAGTAACTTGAGCTTGTGTTTGTTTACGGATACTTCAGCATATGGGCCTTTCACACGGTTTTCACCAGATTTCATAATTTTGATTCCATAACAGTAATCATCACTGTCACTTCGTGCTGTGTCATGAACTGTACTTTCTCTTTCATCCTGACTTTAGTATCCTTTTTACTCCTGCACACAGACTTGAAATGTCCCATTTTCTGGCACTTGTGACACTTTTGGTTATGAGCTGGGCATGGTTTGTCTCCCTTATGTGGAAACACTCCTCCGCATTTCCAACAGTGTTTGTCAGGTTTCCTCGTTGACTGATAACGTTTACCTCCTCGCGATGCACCACTACTCTGTCTAGAACTACGAACATGTAACTTATTTACAGTCTGATCCACATGGCGCTCCATAGCTTGAGCCTGAGAATCTGATAATTCTAGTGAGCGCCCTAATTGAATTATGTCCTCTAATCCCTTATCAGGTTCTCTCAAAGCTCTTCTCCTGAGTTGGTTGGACCTGCATGACTGGATTATTTGAGACAGAATTTCCTTGTCAGTGTTTGTAAACTCACAGTGTTTGGCGAATTTCCGCAACTCCGTGAGGTACTCATCCAAGGTTTGTCCCTGCTTTTGTTTGCAATTTCTGAATGTGTATATCTCCATTTGTGTGTTTTTCCGCGGCCTGAAATAATCAGTAAGAACCTTCTTCGTTGCTGTATATGTAGTTTCGTTTTCCCCCTTTTGAGCCTCATAAATGTCAAAAGTTTGTTCACCTACGTAGTGCAGTAACAACGCTCGTTTACAATCATCTACACTTTTTATCAAGCTTCATTAGGCTCCTCACCTTCCGGTACAATAGGGTTTACTAATTTTAATGCCACAAATAAATTCTCTAAACGTCCGACCCACCTGTCCCATCTTGGGCCTACCGTTGACTTATCCACTTCTGCATCGAATGCCGGGAAAATCGGTATTGACAGTTGATCCATCATAAATTCTGGGTCCTTTTACTATCCTCGTCGCCAATTGTTATATTTTCAGTGGATGATGTTTAGGGATAATTATCAAAACATGCGACAACACACCATGCCGGGTTCTGTCATATTTATTACTACTTCCGGTCATCTATTATATACATTAGAACCAATCATGAACATAATTCCGGATAACGATTACATAGAACATTACATCATCTCCATCAACATTCGCTAGTACGAACATTCAAAGACTCTCTGAGGCCAAGAAACAATATTAATTGCAAGTTACAGAATTGCCAATCGGTTAATCGCAAGACGTTCCGACCAATTAACCGGTTAGTCGTATCAAAAATGTACATTTATTTGATAATTCAATTTGTTTTTTAGATCACCTGAGTAAACTCAGATGACCTATTCTATCCGTTTTTGTCAGTCGTCGTGCGCCGTGCGTTAACATTTGAACATTTTCAACTTCTCTGCAACCGTTCAACCAATTTTGGCACAAAGCGTCTGTGGGTGAAGGGGAACAAAAATTGTTAATTCATGGTCCCTGGGACCTGAGGGGTGGGGCCAAAACCACTAAAATTTATGCAATCTTTAAAAATCTTCTTCTATACTCCTGGACATCAAGCAATCAAACTGTTGGCATGATTGTAATCAGCATTAAGTCCTCTACCAAAATTGTGAAATTCATGGCCCCAGGGCTAGGGGTTCTAGTGCTAGGGCGGGAATAAAGAGATTATATAGTGAAAATGCATTATTTCTTTGAAAGTCTTCTTCTCTGCTCCTGGGCATTAAATAAACAAACCAAGTGCATAGTTATATCGAATAAGGCTAACTCTTCCAAAATTGTGAATTTCATGGTCTCTGGGTCAGGGGTTCTGGTGTTAGGGCGGGGCTCTATTGATTTTAGACAACGGCTGATGACAGACGACTCCTAACTCGCGACGTAAGGATTGACTCCTTACTACGCGATAATAATTCCGGCTGTAGAAAATATTCTTTCCGAGGGCACAGATGTTCCTGGAATTGATAAATATCTTTTGCCAAGCCGGCGAGATGCGGGAATTGTGTCTCATGTTCAGTTGCTTTCTCGTTCATAAATCTCGATAATTAGGGCCCAGCTTGGCGGGCGCCCTCTAGTGATCAGTCTGTCTGTCCGTCCGTCCGTCCGAGATCTCTTGTCCGGAGCATATCTTCTCTCTCCTTGGCCCAATCTGGCTCATACTTCACCGACAGAGTGCCTTTGGGTAACTGGTGTGCAGTGACCTTGAACCATGTTTCTAGGTCAAAGGTCAAGGTCATAGCAGAATTTTATGAAAAATCCTTGTCCGGAGCATATCTTCCCTCTCCTTGGCCCAATTTGGCTCATATGTCACCTACAGAGTGCCTTTGGGTAACCGGTGTGCAGTCACCTTGAACCATGTTTCAAGGTCAAAGGTCAAGGTCATAGCAGAATTTTATGAAAGATCCTTGTATTGAGCATATCTTCTCTCTCCTTGGCCCAATCTGGCTATTACTTCACTCACAGAGTTCCACTGGTCAATGGATGTGCAGTGACCTTGGTCGAAGTTTCTAGGTCATGGTCAGAGTTAGCCTCTCTGTTTAAAATCTTTGTTTGGTGCATTATTTTTTCCCTTTAATTCCAGTAAATTTATATAACTGGGGATACAAGATAACTTCGATATATATCTGTAAATTCGCAATATCCGTGAAGTCGTACTAAATGACTTTTACTGTATTACAAATGTTCCTCTTCAAAATAAACCCTTTTAAACTACCTTACATTTTCATGTTCATTGTTGAAAGCGGGGCCCTTTGAGATGGCCACCATCTCAATGATATCTAGTTCACTTTCTGGTTCATTTGGGCTCTTGTTGGAATGCCGTGAGGAAATCTTATGACTGTTTGGCTTTACTTTTTTTTCTGCGGTTCCTCGATATTCTCTGATCACATGCGTTTTAGTGGCATGTCATCGAGTCAAGACTCGATTTCATCAACGACTACCTGTTTTTGATTTGAGGTAAAAAAAAAATTCAACTGTTTGTAACGAGGGTCTAGAATTGAAGCGAGAAACGGAATTTGGGTGGCCATATCTGCATCATACGATTGAAAACGTTTCACAAGTTCTTGGCGAATTGTCTCTTTAATTTTTCTCACAGTTGAGTTGTCGGAAGGATGGAGTACTAAGTGATATTGATTGATTGATTGTATATTGATTAACGTCCCTCTCGAGATTTTTTCACTCATATGGAGACGCCACTACTTGCCGGTGGAGAGCTGCACATTTTGTCCTTTAATCGGCACTCTGGGCCATTGAGCAAGGAGGGATCTTTTTATTTAGTACATGCTTAACACGAGAAATTAAGCCCTCTGTGTCTCTTTCTATTTAATTAAAAATCTTTTGTGTGTTTCTTATTATTTAATCAAGATAACGAAAGTTTGACCCTGACTGTTGCAATTTTGTACAGGTACAGATGTGATAATTATATCCTCCGAGTAATATCTACCTGTCAGGTGACGGTCTACAGTGAGTAGTTTTCAATCATGAATTTCTCTGTTAACACAACTGCGTCTGGGCGAATTCAAGACTGGGCGAAACCGTTTGCAAGTGTAGATGGGCGAAAATAACACGGGGCGAAAATAACCCTGTAGACAGTTACTCATATTCCTAATTTAATATCTAGTCTAATATCTAATCATTCTGGTTTATTTTTCACCAACTGTAAATTAAAGTTATTTAAGAGACTATTTGACTGCGAGAGTTTCTCGTACAAGTTCAAGATGTGATATTCTCAAAGCTACATTTTGTTAATGTGTATGCAAGTGCATCACCTTTTGCAATAATTATAACAAAATGGATAGTATTAGTCATATCTGAAAACACCTTTTTTACAACATCCAAAGCTCGAACAATTGTATCTCCTCTGTAAGTAGCCCCAGTCGCAACTTGGATAAGTTAAAGAACAGAGCTTTTGCTTGGTCGTGGTATCTTAGCACGGGTGCATGCCTTTGTTTTATCTTTAACAGGAATACAAAGTAAGTAATTCCTAAAAAAATTTGGATCTCTGGGTATACAACAAACCTGTTTGTCGAATATGTCCGTTTTATGATATACCATGCTACCATACAAACATTTTTTCATGACCCTTCAGACTTGTATGAACACTAGATGAATACCCGCGCAAGCGCGGGAAATAAATGAAAGGGAAAGTGTTTAAATAATTGATTTATTCTAGATATTGCATGTAATTTATTCATGTATTAGCATTACTTGTAAAAAAAAAAAATGTGGGAAGCGGTTGATGAATGCACATGATAATAAAATTATCGGTTCTTCACATAAATTATCATTTACAGAGTGAAAAACTGAACTGAAGCCTTTCCAATTTAATGCGAAGTCAACGCTTTTCATAAATCCTTTAATCCTCCTGACCAAAAGAGATGTATATCTGACTCAGTGTGTTTACTTTGGAGTTATGATATAAAATATGATTTAGTCAAATATTTACAAAAAAACTATCAGTAATTCATTATTTAATCCATTTTAACTCAGGTGAGCAATTTTGGCCATGGGCCTGAACTTTCTTAAATGTTGCATTGGAGAATTCTTTTTACTCATATAATTTCTTCAACTAAGCATCTTGTGCATAACGCTTTGTGTGATATTCCAATGTGAAAAATGTATAAAGTAATTATAACAATAAACTGAGACTTTATAGACATTTAAAATACATGCATGTTTGGCTTGTTTTTAATTGCAATGTTTCCTGGACATATGTACCAAAAAGTATAATTTTAGCAATATGCACTTTAGTATGTTTGTCATGTTAAGGGGGCCGACTGTAGTTTTCATTGCGCAATAATTCGCTCATCATAGTAAAATGAAACGTATTGACTGTTTTAAAGCAACTTTTTTCACTTGATATATAACATTTAGCAAAATTAAGAAATTACAGGTTTAAAAATGTAATTACAATTTTATATAACTGAATTTTAACCGATTTTGCAACTGATAGGTAGGTTGTCGTTATAGTGTGTATTTGACGTTATGATAAACTGAAACTTATGAAGAACTTGGTAATAAAATGTTATTGTGTAAAAAGTAATAAACATACGCTCTTGAAATTCAATTCATCGAAATTTGAGAATATCTCTATTATTCATATCATTTTTTCAAATAATACCTTTGTCCCCGTCATATTTTGTAGTGCTCTATAAAAACAGGAAAATTCGTTAAATTTTGGCCTTTTGAGATGCCCCCTCTGGTAACAAGACGGTAGAATTTTGTGTTTCTTACACATAATGTACAATATAGTTTTATTCATCATATATTATAGTTTTATAGTTTGAACAAAGTCTTTTGTAGTATTTCTATAATTTGCTTTAAAGTGCTAAAAATTGGCACTTTCCTATATAATCCTATAGTAAATGTACCTATATTTTGAGACGGTCCCTTAAAAATACCTGGACGGTAGATTTCGCCCAAACTTTCCATGTACACTTGAGTTAATGCAAGTTATATATGATATAAAAATGAAAAGTTTCGCTATTGTAGTTTTCACACGATAAAAACATAGTCGGCCCCCTTAAGAGAAACATTTTTTAATAGAGGATTTGGTTGACCTGACCAGGTTTTTTTTTCTTTTTTTTTTTCAAAGTGTTGATTAGAGCATTATTCTTAAGGAAGCTCTTAACACGAACAGAAACAGCTTTTTGGACCTAAAGAAAAATATGTCATATAAAGGTGTACGTATTGAGACCTTTTTCATTCAATTTTATAGCATATGGTACCTGCCTTACTCCCACAGGAAAAATGTTCAAAGACAATGGACTATCTGTGAAGAGAAGTCACTGCTGTTAACTTATATTTGGAAAATTAATGAAAATGATGAATTATAATACTTATTTATGGTCTTATATAATGCTAAAAATATTTTTATCTTTTACAAAACGGGTAATTAACTGTAAATAACAATTTTAGAAATCTTACTTCTAAGGGCAGATCACTC